AAGTCTCCAAAATTCGAAATTATTTAAAAATACATACTTTTTCTAAAAATATGGTCAAAAGTCTAAAATTCTGAGAAAACGGTTCAAAGAAATGTGATTTTTTGACAAATATTGTTTAAACAACGCCCTTCATGATATTTATGGCAGACCGTCATGAATAAGGATGGGGGAGGGGAGGGGCGCATTGACGATTTTTCTCTCAGCTGATTTCTATCAGACGTTGCTTTGATTATCTTTACAGATAGACGGATCGATTCCAACACATGATCTGGCTAGGACGGGCGATGATAACTACGTTTCGCCAGAGAATGTTTCCGATTCAACGGACAACCTCCATCCGCCATGTCTGCCCATTTTGCAAGCGGGTCTCACACCTTCTCAGCTGGCGTCGTCTCAGGCTCTCTATCTTGCCCCCTCCTCGTCTCCACTCTCCAGTGCAACCACCAATCAACATTAAGAAGAATTCGGCAGCCATAGCGTCGACGACCGTCGTCTCGACACAAGTACTAGTGAGAATATGTACAGTAATTTTAGAATTTTGAGGGACACTCACGTAGATTATAAACATCTCAAATCCGCGCAGAAAGACTTGTATTTACTTTTAAATGAGGCTCCTACCGATCCAGCGTTGCATAGACGCTGGATTGTCGACACTTTTAGTGACATTTTGTTAAATTGCTTAATCACTACAGATACGAATCCAGGGGATAAAGTACGATTAGAAATCGTTTCTCCCGCTAGTCCGGAACGCCCACTGTTCATAACGCCTCGGAGAGGCGATCAGATGAACGTCGAGACAAGTTTCAATAGGATAGAAAAAATATTAAATTCTAATGAGAAATTTCTGTTAGCGGGACCACTGAAGGTGAAATTCTCGGTGGTTCGACTGCCAGTAGGATATGGGGGGTGGGGGCGAAACAGAGCTATTCGAATGAGTTGGTCCTTTGATAACTTTTGTCATAAAACCAAAGGTATAATTTCTTTAAAAAATAAAGATAGTCTCTGCCTCGCGCGGTCTATAGTTGTCAGTATCGCATTTTTACGCAGAGAAGAGAGCCCTGAGGAAGAGAAACATTTCACAAAGATATCGCGCAAGGACAAAAGTGATGATTATCAAAAGACCAAGGCTATCGAACTCTGCCAACAGTTAGGCATCAACTTGCAGAACGGTGGAGATTTGCAACACAATCGTGCTTTTCAGTTGGGCCTTCCGGACTACGGGATTACTGTATGGGGAGACTGATTAGGACGGAGAGTAATTTTTGAAGGCCCTCCTTCTACTCCTACACATACGCGCGGACTGATAGACTTACTTTTCATAAGAGTCAGCCAAGACTGACCAGTCAGGGATAGCGTCCTTGCGGCGGCGCCCCCAAATGGGCCAGTCGGCCACCTACGGCAACGATTTTTCTCCTGATTTTGATTTTTGTTCCGTTCCACTTTGATTTGTCTATTTTTTTTGTCCTGAGTTGTCCCGATTTTGGTTATATATATATACATACACACACATACACACCTTTGACCCACTCCCCCTCCCTCCCCCTGGAGGGGTAGACGGGAAATGACACCGGATTTAGGCCTCTCGGATGATACGTTACGATTCCTGAATGTATGGATGGAGAACCTCTTGAGGTCATTTCCGAAGAAATGAATGGGAATTACATTGTTTAAATGGATCTTTAATGGATCCCCTCCTTGGATTTTTTTTTTTTTTTTTTTTTTTTTTTTTTTTNTTTTTTTTTTTTTTTTTTTTTTTTTTTTTTTTTTTTTTTTTTTTTTTTTTTTTTTTTTTTTTTTTTTTAGCATTTTAATATAATAACTAGTAAGGGTGATAGACCAGGTAGCAAAAGTGATAAAGTAATACTTTTCTTTTGTAACAGTCCTTCCGACTCTCATTTTTTATTCCTTTTTCAAAAAAAATTCTGTTCGAAAAAAGGAATAAAATTGAACTTTGAGGCACCTATAATTATAGTAATTACTAAAAAAGTTATTAAAAAACTGTATGTGACCTCAATAAAATAGTTAAAATAATAGATTACAATGGTTAAAACTACTTTATTAACTGACCTTAAACACCATTTTGTACCTAAAACTGTCGTATGACAGGGCACCAGTTTAATTGGGTTTTATGATAAAAAAATAACTTTTTCACAACTTTTTATAGCGAAAAAAACTTATTTTTTCGGTTATTTTAATCTACGCTTTCAGCTTCTTAGAGTGTTATTTTTTCCAGTACTACCTACATGGGAACTGACGTTTTTTAAAATTAATAATTAACGATTTATTTCAATGTGCACCGAAGATGCACCCGACCCTGCTACCCTTGGTAACGAAAGCGACGAAGGAAACGCTACACGATGATGGGGTTGATCCCAATATTTTGAAAGAAATCAGTGGTGTGGCGTGCTTTGCGGTATATCGATTGATATGCCGTTTAAACCTATGGCAAAGGATCGATAAACAGGGTGTTCGCAGCGAACACCTTACTAATCAATTATTTACCACAGGTTTAAATGGCAGAACAATCGATACATCGCAATTCACGCCACGCCATATGCCACTGAAAGAAATAAAGGAGCTCGTGGGATCAATTAAAAAGACTCATGACCTTGCAAGAGTGTTAGCCCTTCGTTTTCAAGGTCCCTAGTAGCAAAGACGATTTTTGTTTCTCTACGAAAAATATAAAAAAAAGATTCGTGTTATATAAGCGGTAATTTTATATAAAAAATGTATACGGGTTATATAAAAAAAAAATTCAAGATTTGGAACAAGCTTTTATATAAGGAATAAATGAAACTTACATAAAAAAAAATTACAGTGTTTATAATGAAATCGAATCGAATAATTTTTTCTTTTATATAAACATTATATACGCCGCGTATAAAACGTATATAAAGGGTAAAAGTGTTTCAAACACGGCGGCTAAGTGTTAGATGATTTTTTGTTATATAAAAATAATGAGGAAATTAATATAAAATAATAACAATTTACAGTCTAACTTCTTTAATTTCATTTTATATAATCGTTACGTGCGAATCGTATAAAACGTATTTAAAGGGTAAATGCTGTTCAGACACGGCGGCTAAGTGTTAGATGATTTTTCGTTATATAAAAAAATGAAGAGGTTTATATAAAATAATAACAATTTACGGTATAACTTCTTTAATTTTATTTCATATAATCGTTATGTGCGAATCGCATAAAACGTATTTAAAGGGTACATGCTGTTCAGACACGGCGGCTAAGTACGTGTTAGATGATTTTTCGTTATTAAAAAAAATCAATAAATTTATATGAAATAATAACAGTTTACGGCATAACTTCTCTAATTTTATTTCATGTAATCGTTATGTACGTAGCGTACAAAACGAATAATATTACGGTTAAGTGGAGTCTTCCCGCTGAGTTTAAGTATCGGATTATTTTTCTTTACATGAGGAAATTTAAGCCACTTATAAAAAGTTGTATCATCTTTCAATTATTTACTTCATATTTACTTGATTTAATCGTTATGCAAGAAGTTTATACATAAAGTATAGGACGGTTAAGTTCGGTTCCTCCCACTAAAGTTAAACGGTTCCTCCCACTAAAAAAGCACAAGAGGCATTCGAAAATCTCCTCTTCGCGCCTTTCAGAATATGTCGTCTAAACTGTATTTTTCTTAACAGAAAAAAAAAGTTTGAGGGTCGGGTAGGTGGACGACCCCGCTAAACCCCCCTAAATACTCATCCTATGACACCTAAAGTGCCTACGACGGGCACATGCATCTATCAACTTGTTGCATGAGTGATATTTCTGTTAATGATATATTTATGATACTCACAGTTCATTTTATACAAGTATATGGACAAACTGTGCTTGTTTTCAGTGGATGCATCTGAAGAATTCCATTTTTACTCTGCTGATCTATATAACATGTGACAACTCATCTAAAACGGGCGTTGATTATGTACCTTATCTGCTCTGATCGAGTACCTACTAGAGGTGTCGTCAGCTAAGTTGACGGTTGTTTACTTTCGGTTAGCAAGCACTAACGACGAATTTGGGCCTCTGAACAAAGCGGCGTTCGCTACTATCCACACTGAAAACATCAGTCTCATGATCGTATCGTAAAAAATCTACTTATCAGTTATGATTTGCAACTTTTTTGTGGTTGTGATTTCTGTGTGGCTAAAAATTAAAGTATTACAAGGTTTGAAAGTATTAAAAAACTTATCTAAGCTTGTGTTCTTGCTTCTGAGAGAGTCACATGTTTTCATGTGGATAGTAGTGACGCGAAAACGCCTGCAAACCGAAAGTAAACAACCGTCAACTTAGCTGACAACACCTCTAACTAAAAGTCAATTCCTTAATGGTCTTTCAAGCTAATAAGACGAATTTGACGATATTGACGGCGAACAGACCAATGATAATGATGAAAACGACAATGACATCGAACCAAAAGACTGTGATGATGGTAGTGATGGGGACACCATTTTAGAGATTACCTGCGGGCCGATTATTGAAATTTAAACCAGCCCGATAAGACATCGAATTGCGATATATTGCATGGTTAAGATAGGGCTATGTCTTGTCGTGTCGGGCTGACATAGTTTCAATAATCGGGCCGCAGGTATGCATTATCATATGTGGCATGTTGTAGAATCCTGTTTCCTGAATCATGTTTCTTATTGAATGACATAAGAACATGTTAAAGTAAAATCAGTTAATCATTACTTGTTAACAAACGTAAGAGGAATTTTGCAGGAAAAACTCAAGACAACCCTTGCTGAAACTCTACTAGTGTAACGATTGCCCTCTATCATACAGGGATGCTGTAACTTCCCAAGCACGTGACCAGCCCGGTTGTGTGTTGGTCGCTTGAAATGGGAGAACCCCTGCGAGAATGGGAAAAACCGGGGGGAGACTCCTTGAAAATAAGATGAAATTGGAGAATCCTGTCTGATTTTTGCAAAATTTTCCCTTTTATTGGCTGTCCAATTGTTTTGGGTTAAAAGTTTAGTTTTTTTTTTGTCTTGAGGGGAGGCGATCATGAATTTTGGTTACAATAAGGGGAGGCCAATTGAGTCTAGCGGAAGGCTAGGAACTTTCTGCACCCCTGCTATTGCCTATTCTTATTTTCTGTTTAATCATTTTCAGAACTAATTCTCAAAAGAACTTCATGAATATCATGATTTTATCGATATTCTGAAATCATGATCGAGCGGCCGTTGGCCGCAAAACAACGTAACTTACTTTAATTATAATTAAATTTTAATATGGCAACGTGTAACATATGGTGTTCACGTGTAACTTCGCCGGTGGTGACGGTGCCGCTGGTGGGATCAGGATGTTGATTTATCGGTGTTTCAGTGCCACACTGTTTCTTATATAAGTAGCATGTTTTATGAACGAAATTTAGTTATGAGTGACGATTTTCTATTCGATACGTCTATTCTGTTTGATAACGTTCATAGTGACGTGGATTTATCTGATTTTGATATAGTGTCTTTTGAAGAACATTTAAACGAAATTCAAAATGAGTCGGAAAGTGAACGCGAAAAAACAGAAAACAGTTCATTTTGTGAGTTCCGAGGACGAGGATCAGGATGTGCAAGTGGACAAGGAAATTCATCAGGAATTACCGAATACTCAAGCTTTTCTCGACGAGGAAGCCCAGTTGAACGAAGAAGCAGAAAAAGAAAGCAAATCTTCACGAATATTAGAAGAAGTTCTGAATCATCCGATTTTTCTTCTGATAATGAAGATGATACCTCTTCGCACAGTGGGTCTTGTGCCGCTAATTCGAACACTACTAGAAATAACAGCGTGGATGACGAAAGAAAAACATCCGCAAAAATTAAAGTGGATAGTTTTTTACAATGCAGTAAAAACTACGGCAAAAACTCACTTTCAGCCAGAAAGTTTGAAAGAAATTGGTTGGCCATCCTTAGCCGCCAAGATCCTCGAAAGTTGCTCTTACACGATATTTACTTGTTTGGAAATCAACGAGGAAATAGAAGAAAAGTTTACGATGAGCTGGCTGCTGGAAGGTATGGATCGCAATTCTTCTACTGCATCTCAGAACATGGAGGACATATACATGCCCTCCACTTCTGCGTCTACTCAGGAAGCCAATGCAAATGTTTGTTCTCCGAAATCTTGCGACGGGGATTCGGAGGAAGAGTTAATCGAAAAAGAGTTCCTCTCCACATCATTAGCTGCGACTGGTGGAAGGGTCTCGCAATGTATCTATCGAAGGAGGGACGATCGATTGTACAAATGCGAGACGCCGGGGGAACGTGGTTCTGTTTTGATAAAACTGGAATACTACAATCTCCAATCTATGAGAAAGGTGGAGAAAGACTCTTGGTGGATGCACGCAGATTGGAGGGCTTCGCTGGTTTTACCGAATTCGTTGGACAGGAGGGCGACTTTTGTGCAAGAGACATGCAAGAAGGCGTTCGAGCAACTGTGTCAGATACCGGGGGCCAACAAAAGCTCTCAAAAGGCGAAGCGCTGAAAGCATTTTTCAATTCTGCAATAGTTACGCCTGTCCAACGAATTTTCAAAACGGAAATATGGTTAACATCTGAATGGAAATATTACGACCCCAAAAATTTTTTTGTTCAGGTAAACATTGATATGTTTTTGTTAAAAATAAATAAAATGAAAGTAAAAGATTTATTTCAATTACAATTAAATATTCCATTTAAAAATTTATTATATGATTCTTATGATCCTTCTTCTCAATTCTTAGATTTAATTTCAAGTATAATAATTTTGGAAAGTTTATTGATACACCAAGTTGGCCATGAAAATGTTATGGATTTTTTGTACAATGTACATTGCATATTAGATAAAAAAATCCCGAAAAAAAATACACTCTTCATTCTTTCTCCTCCTAATGCTGGTAAAAATTTTTTTTTTGACTGCGTTGCACAATCTATGATTAATACTGGACATATTGGTAACTTTAATAGGTTTTCATCATTTCCACTAATTGAGGCAGTAGATAAACGTTTGTTAGTGTGGAACGAACCAAATGCTGAACCTTCAGCATTCGAGGATCTTAAAAAGTTATTTGGTGGTGATCCCTGCAATTGCAAAGTAAAATTTGAAGGTGATAATATAGTACTTAGTAAAAGCTTAGAGTATGCCTAATATGTACGTTTTTACCGATTTGATTTATCTCTTTTCGTTCGGAAGATACAAGGTAGGGAACCTTACTTTTTGGATGACCCTCGTAGCTAGAGACTCCTACGCTGAGATCTTAACGGACAACCCGCATCTAGGACGCGTTCTACTTCCAGAGTACTACGACTATTACACCATTAGTATGCTCTGGCTAAGAGCCATCCACCTCAAGCTCAAAAATGGCCAAACCATCACCCCCGCTGAGCATGATTTGATACAAACTGTTCAGTTCGTAAGCTTCAATCTTCCCGAACCCCTGTTCTTACATTGCCGATCACTGGGTAACATTGAAACTGTATCCAAATCACATCTAATTTACGATGATTTACACGTGACGTTATCGATACAATGTTGTATCAACGTATCCACCAACTTTAGAAGGACGTTACTAAAACGAAAATCGAGCGATATTTCTTTCATTTTTGTATTTTGATTCAACACATTTTTAAAAAGTTATTTATTCAATTTGTGTGTCCATGGCACGTACATTTTTCCTAAAATATGATAGCTCGAACGATATTACGTGTTACGTTTTTAAAGGCGAATCTTGATCATTTTATTTTACTACGGTTGCGTATGAACGTAACGTTACATACAATTTAAACGTAACGTTACATACAATTTAAACGTAACGTTTTATAGATAGGTTATAAGATATGGTCTCAATTCAGCAGAAGAAATGGGTTTTGTAACCATTGGTAATCAAGTTAATCAATCTAATTCGACATAAAACATTCGTGGCGATAAACTATCAGTTGGACTGCGACTAAAATTGAAGCTACGGGAAACCGCCGCATGGAAATTCGAAAGTTGCCGAATTCCCCGGATAAAATATGTATTTCAAAAAATAATTTAAATATTTTCCACTCGATTCACGAGTATTTCGGGTGCGGTTGCAAATGAAATTCTCAGGAAAATTGAGGAGCTTTCCGGAAAAAGGGCCTAAATCGAAAATTGCGTTTTGGTAAGCATATATTTCAAGTTTTGCTAATGGTCGTTTTTCATTTTAGGTTAATTGAACTTTGATTATAGGGTCCAAGATCCAGTTTAAGTCACCGTCAGTGGCTAGATAGAAAAAAATGATCACTTCAAATACATTGTTCTCGAAAGGCGATTTTCGGATTCAAGCTCTTTCTCTGGAAAGCTCGAGTACCTATAAAAGGAGAGTACGGACATGTCTGTAAGTTTGAGGTTAGGCCATGGAGCTTTTAGGGCCCGAAAGGGCAGTCAACCTTTAACTTCAAATTATCCAGCGTGATTTATTATTACAATCGTTACAACCCGTCATTTTTAAAGCATGCATTTGCCTTACAATTAGTTTTACATACACTTACTCATTTTCGTGGAAGAACGCTCATTTATGAACATGCTTGGCCATCTTGGTTTGATATCAGAATCTGAAGATTGACAGTCACATTCATTGGCGGATTCAGCAAATTGGCAACACTGTTTTTTCTCCATTTAAACCCATGGAAATGTATCGATTCTCGGCGGGGACAAGTGCACCGACAAGAATCGATTATTAAACATAGGTTTAAATGGAGGAAAGCCAAGGTTGCCAAATTCCTCGATTCGCCTCTGGTGACATTTTTTGCGTTAGAAGGTTGGCCGCCCTATGGGCCCTATGAGCACCATATTTCGACATATTCTTACTCTCCCTATCTGGACAGCTCCTCAACTTTTTTTCTTCTTTTTTTTAGTGGTGTGTTGCGCTAGGTGGTTTTAACATTTCCTAGGAGACACCCGGAGTAAAAATTCTCGTAAATCACCCAGAAAACAGGATTGCCACAGAATTTAGAGACTGAATTTCCCTGACACAAATTCGTAAAATTCCCTGACAGTTGAAGAAACGCCAGATGGTTAAAAAGACAAAATGTTAAATGGTTTTCAGGCAAAAGTTGTTGTTTGAAACGTTAAACCCATACTGGAGACCAAATAAGGGCGGCTTCACTGGTTTTTCCATACATTTTCGACAGTTTTCCCGACAGACACTTCCCGGTTTCCCCTGACTATTTAAAATACCCTGACACTTCCCGGTTTCCCCTGACTGTATAAAATTCCCTGACATTTCCCGGTTTCCCCTGACTGTATAAAATTCCCTGACATTCCCCGGTTCCCCTGTCTGTTTAAAATTCCCTGACATTCCCCGGTTTCCCTGACTGTTTAAAATTCCCTGACATTTCCCGGTTTTCCTGATGGTGGCAACCCTGACCGACCTGGTATTTCATCGGAGAAAACTCGGCAACTTCCAAAAGCTCACACGACGCGCAGTGCATCGAGTCAATTAGAGAGGTCGGACATAAAATTTTTGACTAAAAGTGCGAATTTTGGGGTTTATTTCGTCACATTTTACATTTCAAGGGGTGCTTTAGCTGGAAAATTTTATGAGGAAACCGATGGAACCACTTTTATGATCTCAAAGTTTTGTATAAACGGAGTTATAAGCGTTTAAAGTTTCCTAATTTCGTCCGACCTCTCGTGTTGACTCGATCCATTGTGCGACGTCTCCTTCAGCACGGCAGGGGATCGGTTTAGTGGCATGGCGCCTCCTGCCCGGAGCAAGGCCCGGCGCAGACCTCCTCGACGATGACGGCGGGTTGGGCGGCCAGCTCCTGGACCTTGGGCTCGGCGTACGTGTCCACGACGACCGGGGTCTGCGTGTAGACGTTGAGGGCCGCCTTCTGCTTGTGCCGCACCACGTACGGGGTCCCGAAGTAGTTGATCTCGTACGGCGCCGACTGGTGCTCGATCACGTTCGGGCTCAGCGGCAGACCCACAACCACCGGTGTCGGCGCCACCTGCTCGATGATTATCGGACCTCCGAAGCCTCCGGCACCTCCGGCGCCACCTCCCATGCCTCCAGCGCCGCCTCCCATGCCTCCAGCGCCGCCTCCCATACCTCCAGCGCCGCCTCCCATACCTCCAGCACCACCTCCCATACTTCCAGATTTCCAGGACCCAGCTCCCCAGCTGCTCGACGCGCAAGGGATGTGCGGGTTTCCGAAGACGAGACTGGCGCACATCACGGCTCCGAACAAGGCGAGGAAGGCCATTCTGCGGGTAGAGTGAGGTCGGTCGATTCGGAGATCTCACTGGTGGATGACTGCGCGCGCTTCGGACGCCTGGATTCGAATGACCTCCCGGGGCACCGTTGCGGGGTTTTAAAGCACCCCGGCGCGGCGATAACTGAAATCGCGGAGGCGCGACGTGACAAAATAAGTCCCTATCTGCAGTCCACGGCATACGGACGTATTTCTGCCCGGACGGAACTGCGTGCATTGAGACTGAGCCTGGACACCCGTAAGAATATACGCGTAACAGGGCTAACGTTGTAATGCACGTAGCTCCGTTCGGCGGAAATACGTCCGTGTAGAATGTCTTGTCCCGCCGTGCCGAGGAAAAAACCGTACGAGCCTTCGGACAATGCCAAACTCCTTTTGAAAAAAATTATGAATTTTCGGGAAAATTTTTAAGGATGCACCTCCTCAATTTGCACTGAAATTTGCTCGTAATTTGATCTGAAGCGTCCGAAAATTTCGATGAAAAATATCCGTAACTTTCCGCGATACCAAGTCTTTTTGAGGGTAAATATGACAACATTCAAATGCTCATGCGGCGTTTTTCCTCGACACGGCGGGGGAGTACTGGTATACTACTCCGATATAATCTGGTATACTACTCCGGTATACTAATCTGTCAGCTGCGTTCGATTTCAGCGGGGAATGATTAGTCATCCGGGTGACGATACGACGCGACGCACAGAGGATCGAGTCAATCTGAGAGTCCGGACGTAACATTTGTAACTAGATCTGCGAAATTTTCATGTTTACTCCGTCACATTTTAAATTTTACGGGGTACCCATGGAAAAAAATTTAACGAGTAAACCAATGTAAACACTTATAGAACCTCGAAGATTTGTAGGAACGGAATTATGAGCTTTCAAAGTTTCCAAATGGTGTCCAATCCATCACGTTGACTCGATCCACTGCGCGACGGTCGAGTCGCAATCGGGACGCGCTGGCGATCGGCCGCGGCCGTGCTGAAGAAGGAGAACGTCTGAAAATTCGAACGTTGCTAGATTTCCTCCAACAAAACAAGATTTTTTGAGTTTTCTTTGGTCCCTCATTTGGATTACATTTTGCAATAAGGAGCCACTATTTCTGGCTCATTTCAGAAACAACATATATGCCATTGATTTCCCTATGCACATACGTGCTTTTATGGAAGAGCCAGAGATAGTGGTTCTTTATTGCAAAATTTAATCCATTTATCGACGGTGAAACTACCAAACCACGTATCTCGTTTGCGGTGTTTAAAAATCTACGCTCACATTTTATTTTTTTGAAGTAGACCAAATCAATATCATTCCTTGAAATTTTCACAGAATTTTCTCCCCACGAAGAGGAAAAATCACAGAAATTTTCAAGACTGGACGTTGAGTAGTTTTTCATTTAAAAAATAAAGTATGACAGGAAGTCTGCGACGTCGCAAACCGAGATACGTGGTTTGGTAGTTTCACCGTCGTTATGTGTCCACACGTGTGATTTTAGGCAATGAAATCGTGAATGGAGATGTTGCATGTGTAAGAAATTTGCGATTTGACTGTTAATTCTAATGTAAAAGTTCGTGAGAAACACGATGATGCCACTGGTTTTCTCTGAAATCAACCCCCAAGCTCAAAAAAAAAGCTCTCAGGTTGAGGCCAAAATGGAGGGGATATCCCACCCTACCCTGAGAGTCCACGTCTACGTCAAGACAAACTCTCTTTGCAAAAATAGGGAGCAAATACATTGGCAGGGCTGCCTCTTTATTTGGGGGCTTCAAAACTGAAAAAACGGCAACCCTGCTAATGTATTTGCTCCCTATCTTTGCATGGAGACTTTGTCTTGATGTAGACGTGGACTCTCAGGATAGCGTGGGATATCCCCTCCATTTTGGCTTCAATTTGCGAGCTTTTTTTGAGCTTGGGAGTTGATTTCAGAGAAAACCAGTGGCACCATCGTGTTTCTCGCGAACTTTTACAAAAGAATCAATAGTCAAATCGCAAATTCCTCACACATGCAACATCTCCATTGAGTTACATGCCGACATTCCTTCGGGGCACTTTGATACCAAAGCCACAATCAGGATCTTACTTTCCTTTCAGCACATCCGCTGATGGTCTCCATGGACATGTGTTTTATTTCTTCTTACATGTGGTAAAGTCTGAGAGGGAGAGAGTGATGTTTCCCGAGGAGTCTTCCTACAGGAAAGATCTCTTGTTCTCTGAATGTACAATATTAACTGAGTCCATATGCTTTAACTAAGAAATCCAAAAATTAATTGATTTTTTTTTATAAAAATTTTTTTCCTTTATGTGTAGAAATAAGTAAGAAACACATAAATGAATCGATTTCATTATTTTCATATGTTTAGGAATAAGTGAAAAAAACATAATGGAAGCAAACAGGAACGAGTCTAAAGTAATGACTCGCCTAGAAAAACTTTTCTTAAAAAGAAATAAACTTGAACCGCGTCAATTAATCGAAGCGTTCGAGAACATTATCTATGGAAAGTACGAAACACCACAAGATAACGAATTGGCGAGTGACATTTTTTCTTGGTACGAAGATCCGTTCCCAAGAGACGATGAAGAAGAGAGAGCCGAAATCGAGACCCTAAAAATACAAGCGTTCCTAAAGAACCTTGTATCGGGATTAGATGACGGCTATTTCACATCAGACGAAGAGGAGGAGTAAATAGTAAATGGGCTCTCCATCGCAAGTTACCTAGTCGTTACACATGTTAAATGTGAAAAACTGCTCAATCGTTTCCTTCCAATGTTCCGTATTAGTAGTTAGGCTGTATACATAATCAAATAATAGTAATTTACTTAATATTTTCGTATGCCCAATAATCCCGAATAATCAAAGTTTTACTTATTTTACGTTTGTAATGACAGTAATCGAATATTTCTAATTGATTTAATGTTAACTTAATTTTACTTATTTTATGTTTGTAATTGCTTCTATTAATTTAATGCTTACCTATTTCATGTTTGTAATTGTTCCTGCATAATCTCTAATAATCAAATTTTACTTATTTCACGTTTGTAATAACAGTAATCGAATATTTCTAATTTATTTAATGTTAATTTAATAACACTTATTTTACGTTTGTAATGGTAATTTAATATTTACACTCATGTGATCGAATATTAATAAGTTAATGTTTATATTTACGCTATATATGCTCCATATAATCGAATTTTAATTATTAATTTAATAATTACACTCATGTAATCGAATATTAATAAGTTAATGTTTATATTTATGCTATATATACTCCATATAATCGAACTTTAATTATTAATTTAATATTTACACTNGTGGGGGGGGGGGGTGTGATGATACGGCCAAAGCATGGGATCGGGGACCGGTCACCACCGTGGCCAAAACAATGCATACCAGAGCGACGAGGATGCCCACAGCACGATCGGACAGGAGAGAGAGAGACAAATGGTCACTCGCCGTACCGGGCCAAACCATTCAAAATCCCTCTTGCGGCCGCCTGAGTTTTTTTATGGGCCGTTATCACTGTCCCGCTGGACCGCGCATCCTCGCTCCCGAAACCACGGGGGGGGGGGGGNGAGCTACGGGGACCACACTGGTCAGCCCAGACTGACCAGTCAAAAACCGCGCCTTTGCGGGGGCCCCAAATCAGCCACTCGACCAGGGTCCAACCTGCCTGGTCCACGACCCCAGCGATCCCGAAGTTTGTTGATTATTGTTTATAATGCCACCAGTAGAGGTTAGGTTGTCCCGGTTGGCCAGGGAAAAAGATGACTTGTTTAATACACGTGTGATAAAAATTCGGTGTGAAAACGGCACCCAATATTTATAATTTTGCAAGAAGAAAAGATATTAAAATTAATCCGTGCCCTCCGTATTGTGATGATATGGCTTTTGCAACACAGGGAAGCATGAGATCGGTCACCACCGTGGCCGACACAATACACATACCAAGGGCGACAAGGATGCCTGCAGCCTGACCGGGCGTGAGAGGGAGACAGGTGGTCACTCGCTTCACAGGCCAAACCACCCCAAATTCTTCTCGCAACAACCCCGGCAAGTTTTTATGGGCCGTTATCACCGCCCGCTACACCGAGCGTCCTCGCTTCCAAAGCCACGGGGGGGGGGNGGGGGGGGGGGGGGGGGGTGGCAGGGAGCCTTTTAGGCTCCTTCGAGCCACGGGGCCCACATGGGTCAGTCCAGACTGACCAGTCACAATCCGTGCCTTCGCGGTGTCCCCAAATCGGCCGGTCGGCCAAGGGCCAACTTGTTTGGTCCACGGCAACAGCCACCCCGAGTTGCAACGCCGTATCGCAGCATCCCTCTCCCCGACCTAGGTCAACCAATGGGGAAACTTTGGGGGTTGGCCGGCGAAAGTGGCACAAGGGAGGAAGAGAGTGAGGCCGGGCGCTCCCCGAAAGCGAAGGCCAGGGGACTCTTTCCGCGACTCCCAAGCGAGACAGATTTTCTTCGATATTTGCTCCGATTTTGATCTTCCGTCCCATCTGACCTTGCTATATTATTTTTCTTGAGTTGTCCTGATTTTGCCATTTTTTCATATTTTTCCCTGATTTTTATTCATCGTTGTTCATATATTTTTTCCTGCATACTACATCTTATCCATCATATTTCTGACTTATATTTTTTCACATCATCCTAGATTCCCCCCCCCATAGCCCATCACAATTTCCTAATTGTCTGTAATTGAACGGGTTGTCTTTCGTAAGTATCCGTTCCTAATTGTTTTGTAATTGAATGTTAATAATTGTTTGAATCTAAAATTTCATAATGTTAATGATTATGTTAAATCTGAGATATTATAATTGCCTTGTACTCTGATATTACAAATTGCTTTGATGAGTTACTTACTTTCCTTCCAAAATTCTTCGTTTCCTAATTGTTTTGTAACTGAATGTTCATAATTGTTTAGTCTGAAATTTCACAGTGTTAATAATCATGCTATATCTAAGATATTATAATTGCCCTGTAATCGAATATTAAT